TGCACTTGCATGACTAACATCTTTAGACACGTTATTTTCAAAATATAGAATGGACAAAAATTCTACAAGAAGTGTATCGGTATTGTTTAGTACGGGGATTTGACCGTTGCAAGACGTTCACACATTTTCAACGTACATAATTTAACCATTCATCGGCAACACAATTGGTATACATTGTTAGATGGGATGTTACGTATTTTGAATAGATTATATCGGAATGCTACGAATGCAGCAATGTTATGATAATTCAATGGGTGGAGGATTTTTTGCAGAACATTTTTTTCTTGGCGTGTTACCTTTACGCTTTCACTTGTACTTTGTTACCATTACTTTAAAAATATTCAGATTTTTTTAATGTGCCTCATGTGATCGAGCATTCAGATAAATTCTATAACAGAAGCGATGACCCACTGGGTGATGGCGCGGTCTATGCTATTTAATAGCTGCAGCAAAATTTGGGCATGAACGGGCATCATTTGCTGTAACTCAGATGAGCGTGTAGACTAGTGTAGTGATATATTTACCATTCCAATTATTAATATCACCAAGTCTACCGACCTTCTGTTCCGTTCCTTCAAATCGCTTCCTGGTTGGCACGGTACGATCTAGGTGGCTTCTGCTGATCATTGCTCTGCGGGTTTCGATGGCATCGTTTTTGCGTCGATGTCCGTAATCGCTAAGAAGAAATAACCTTTTCGGTTGAATAATGGGCGACCTTGCCTTTGTATACCAACAGTGTCAGAAGGAAGCGCCTGAGTATCGGCACCAATTCCACAAAGTGACCACCAAGCGCCACCATCTCGCTACAACAAACCAGAAAGTTGTACAGCCATTGCTACTAGCTGCAACAGATCAACCAATCAAATCACCGTGTTGCCAGAGTGTATGGTTTAAATTTGGAAAGACCGTGTTGAAAGTTGATCTATCCATTTGAAAAATTATGATATTCAAAAACTTAAGCACATTCTTAAGTCATCCTTTTTTTCAACAACTCGCTAATTCAGATCAGAAGAACATCAGCAAATGCTGATCTTTTAAATCTTCCTGGCTGTCTAGGGAGCATATCTAAAAGAATATCCTGTTACTTATGCAGCGTTTCCTGAACATCTACAAAATTTCCTTAAGTTTTAGAAAATTTACTCAAATTTCAAAGTACCTTGAAATTAAACGATGGTGCAAAATCTTCATCTTCAGGAAGTTCATTTAGATTTTTAAGATCTCTGACAAACTGCTATGAAGTTCCCTAAACTAAAACTAAGATCCCTGAAGTCTTCTATTTTAACTTAACTAATTCCCTGAAGTTTTTCAAAATGCCCTGTACTTCTATGAAGTTATACGCAGTTCCTCGAATTATTACGCAGTCCACAAAACTTCATCAAAGCTTGCTTCACGTCTAACGTTTCTCGTTGATTTTCCGCAATGTTCGACGCACGAAATTTCCTGAATTTGTGCGGAATTATCTGAACTATTTCAAGTCCATGAGGTTTCATCAAAGCTCTGAAGTTATAAAAAAGGTCCCTGAATAATAAAGAGGTTCCCTGCCATCAAACAATAAACTTCTACGAAGATACCTAAACTTGTATAAAGTTCCCACTTCTACGAAGTTTTCTGAACTTTTACATGATCTCAGAACCTCAAATAATTTCACTAAATTAAGCTCATGATTCATCTGACATATGTTGGTCCTAATGCATAAAACAAAATATAATAATAATAATACCAAAGAAACATTCAAAATCAGGACAGTGTTCTAGTGAAAACAGTTAACGGAACATTAGAGTCAAACGAAGCATAATTGTTACTAATCACATTAGCGACAGTATGAATAGCCTCATTCGGCCCATACTGTCAATTACGAGCTGCGAGGTGTATGAAGTGTCGTTGTCTTATAACTTTTTCAGGTACGAAGAAGAAGAGTTACCGAAGCAGTTCAATGAAACTTTACGAAGTTCACTGAAGTTCGGTGAGCTTCTACAAAGTTAGCTGAACTTTAAAGAAGAATTGAAGTGCACTTCAAGAAAGTTTCCTGAACTTTTAAAAAATTCCCTGAAGTACCACGAAATTTCTTGAAGAACTACAAAGTTCCTTGCAACTCGGATAGCAGTTCGTACCCTGGTGTAGTGGCTGTAGGTGCATTGTCAGACAGCACCAGCAAATCAACAGAGGAAGTGGTAGAGGTGTTGCATGAAGAGGTGGTGATAATGGACTTGCCCTCAGGAGGCCGATAAAGCATGCAAAAACGAACATCAGCATCCTCGGCAGAAAGGGTTTGCGGATCTGTCGAGATTCGATGCGTTGCTAGCACAAAAAAATATAGGAAATCGATCTAGATCTCCATTGTAATATTTGTTTAGTCCTTCGGCTCCGCAGAGCTTTCAAAGATATTGAGCCTACTAAATAAACATTTTGGAAAACATGGTTTTCGATTCAGATACTGACCGTTGAGTGTGACAAATATGTTGGATTCATCCCAAAATTTACAATCCAGCTTTCTTATTTTTCATCATATTTTCAGGTTGACTACTACTTGGGACGAACACACCATGCTTTTTGTCTAAATATATTTGAACAGTTCTCAAATTTAAGTGCATGTTTGAATTAACTAGTGATGTCGGCTACAGCTTGAAAGGCTGAAAATACTGATGGATGAAGTCACACGAATCAATTTCAACAACGAAGTTTTTTTTAAAGGGCCCTCCGAACTATTGGTTCTCTGCCAGCTGCAAAATACCTATCAATTTGATCCACCAAATCAGGCTGATCAATGTCCCAAAATTTGAGCTAATTTGGTGGCGAACTGATTCTGCACTGGCTCTTTGAAATTTATATGGGAATTACTATAAGAAAAGTGTATTTTTTGTCCTCATCGTTCTAGCCCTGCACCCCCCCCCCCCCCCTTTCTTACGTGAAAGTTTCCCAGCTACAACTTTGTTGAAAACCACTTTATAATTGAATGTCAAGAAAATTTGTTATTAATTAATTTCCAAGTTGATAACTTGCTGGCAGGATTAATCGGCTGTTTTCAGGGCAACACTGCATCTTGCCCTTATGATATAATAGCCTCGATTTTTTTCCTATTATTCCCATGTTGTCTGCTGAGTAGTAAATGAACCATGTCAGAAGAACAACATTTTCCTGATCAATTAAAAATTAGTTATCCTAACGTTCAATCTTTCAATTCCCACATAAACTTCAACGGGGCAAGTGCAGTATGAGTTCGCATCCTAATGAGATCAAATTTTGTGAGAATGATCAGGAGCTGATTTGAGATCGTTTGAACTTGGTGGAGCTAAATCAATATTTTGAACCATGAAAATTCCATGCGCATGGATCGGTAACAAATAACCCCGCCGGTAATTGGTTCGTAATCGTTTAACTCATCTTCCGCAATCTCTCAACCCTCAAAAACTGAATATCAACTGATTGAAATCAATCAGTTGTACCAGCAACACGAGAATCTGACAGGACTACAACAGTTCTCTGCTGTTTTTTTTATCACCAACCAGCCACTTTTAGCATGTACGCAGGACGTAGGTACGCTGCCGATCTCCCTGGAGCTCGCCGAGCTTAGCTCATGAGACACAGCACATGTGACACGAATGAGGCACGTAGGAACAAAAAAGAAACGCGTCTCGAAATGTACCAGGCACCTACGATCTTATAGAAAGTGTGTCTCTATTACGCGAGATGGATGCACGTGTACATTAACTCTGCCTGGAGCTGCCTATGTCAGGACTTTAACAATTCTAGACTAAGAAAATTGTTAAACATTATTGACCTGAACAAGTATTTAGACCCAGGGAAAAATCGGATCCGATGCTTGAGAAATATCAAGATGTTTGCTATTCTGTGAAACTTGAAAAAAATCTAGATGTTATGATTTGAATTACCTATGCATCGAGATTAAGTGTGTTGAGGAAACCCAATGTTTTACGATTCAATGATTTAGACAACAACATTTTATTTTGATTCTACGCTTCTCGAAAGTTGTTCAAATGACTCCAGTAAAAGTAATGGCAATTGGTACTGCTTTCTGCATGGTCATATCAGCCTCACAATCTTCTATTTATGACTCGTAAATATGTTTTATTTAGGCAAAACCATAGATCGCATAATGTAAATATATGTTCCACAAAACCACCTTGAGACGATTAAACTTAGCTTCCTGCCATCATCTACCTACCCCACAATGCGCTAGATTCGAAGCATTTCTTGGTTCGTCCTAGAAGAACAAAGAACCAACCCACCACAGTGCAGCAGGCAGCGAGAAATTGGTCTCGTTTAGCTCATCATTTTCCTTGTCCTCGTGGCAGTCCGGTCGGTCGGTCGGTCTGTCTATCAGTTGTAGGTTGTAGAGTAGGATTAAGATGTTGTTTACTCCGCATCAGGGTTTCCCATCCATTTCCATCGTCCTTCTTCCAGTAATATACGAGACCTAGTTTTTACGATTCAACTGCCACCACCGACTGCATGGCCCTGGCTGGTGAATGGATGACTATTATCCTGGTTGGGGCGGACGGAACCGCCCTCGTCTGGCGTCGTAAAAAGTGCAATAAAGAAAAGAGTAGCTGCTGCAGCTCCATTCTTCTCACGAATCATCCACCAAAATGCAATTCCGTCCATTTCGCCCCGCTTTCCTTAACCCCTTCCTTTCTTTGCGATCGATGGTCTTATGCACTTGCTTCGTTCTTCGTCCTTGTCTTCCCACTTCAGAGGCGGAGGGTGGATGATAAGAATCTTATTTTCCTTGCAATTTCTCGTTCCTTTCCCCCAGCACGACCCACGTATCTCTCGTATCTACGTATCTAGGTATACGGGGAATGCAAGCGAACAGTGGCGTAGATTGATGATTTGAACGTGTGGGAGCCGCTGCTTGTTTGCTATTCCGGAAAATTTCCCCAATCCTTGGACCGAATCGTGTCTTGCATATATCTATGTAGAAAATTGCTAGAAAAATGTTGCTAATGCCGTGTTTCTTTTTCTTGATTTCCCTTTTGCAGGTTGACTCATTCCCACTAGATCAGCAATCGATCGAAATTCCAGAGACCGAGTGCTCGGATAGCTGCGAGAACGACGTCGACATGGATGAGTCGGACAGCTGCGACAACGATGCTGACGATAATGAGGATTCCGAAGGTGGGTTAATATTGATTGGATAATTTCAGTTATTTTTGGAAATTCTGAAAATAATCTCTTCATCTAGACGACGAGGAGGACGACGATGATATCCACAGTACGGTCGTGACGGGCAAGTTCCTGCTGGAAAACGACGACGATATGGATCACGAGAGCGGAGGTGGCGGCGGTGGCGGAGGCGGTGGTACCCACGACAAGAAAGCCCGCCTCGAAGCCTTGCTGGAAGCTGCAGGTATGCAGTTTTTATTCTACCTATCAATAGATGTGGGGACAGAGTTTCCGGTGAAGGATGTTGGCTGCCGGAAGGGCCAGGGTTTCCTGATAAGTGGATGATGGGACCAGGCGAGGAAGGTCCATGCGGGGAATCAAATGGATTCGAGGGAAGGTGGCATTCCGGGGCCGAAAACATTCCGGATGGAAGTGCCTGCAGAACCGACAGATGGCTTCGGCTGTGCGCATCGTGATTGGAGATTTGCGTGATGTGAATTGTTGTTCCTGAAAATGGTCGAACAATTTAGATTGGTTACGAATGGAATCTTAAAGATGAAAAACGTTACCCGATTAGAAACTTCAAAAGGGTACTTCATGGCAAGGGTTTTCTTCCTGCAGATATCCATTTGAAAAGTTGTTTGGAAGTAGTGATCTATCATCATTTGCTCGAAGAAACCAGGCTTTCGGAAGAAGTTTGTTGCGTTGGTGCATTCTTGAACATCTGGATTCAGAAGATGACGGCGTACACAGCGGCAATGATTTCCGCGACGGCTACTGGGGATTTGATACTCTTGTTGATTTGTCGTGCGCCACATCGCTCAAATGATTTTCGGTTTGATCAGACCTGTGATGAATGGTCATGGCCTTCTTTGTAACTATGCAGGGGAAGTGGGGGTAAAATGAACGCAGCAGGTGAACCGAACTAAGTCCTGACTTGTTTAACGGTGAAATCAGCAAAATTATGTTAATGTAAAGGGGTAGAATACGCAGCGATTGAATTGCCTGGATGCTTAATTGGTTGATATTTTGATAAATAAGACCTTACAAACGTCAAGTCTCGAGTACTTTTTCAAAAGGTCCTAACTACCAAATGTAAACAAATAGAGTTAATCGATGCAAACTATTGCTCTTCTATCATTTCAATTTTCCACTGAATTTGGTATCATTATGATGGCCAATCTGCCTACTTTCCTCTATAAGAAGTTTCATACACTTTAAAAATCGTGACGTCCGATTTTCGTCAAATTAGTTACTTTGACATACATTACACGTCATGTTCACTAAAAATTTTGGTGAAACGACCGTATATTAAGCTTCAACGAGGATATGAGATTTTCTGAAATCTAGATTAACTTCTAATAGACCATTCGGTAAGCACCTAGACAGGATGCAACTTAGAAAGCACGCAGCCATTTTCTCTCGCATAGTAGAGAATATCAAGGTGTGAATATATTCAGTCATGCAGGCAGGCGGAAGAAGAGCATTAGATTAATAATTGAAATAGTCGGAACAACCAAACGTAACGCAAACTTCTTGAGAATCAGAACCCAACAATGCCATTCGGAAGTTTGCTCTTTCCGATGCTGGTGTTAGATTGCATGGGTCTGTTTTGATTCTCGTGAAATTTGAAATTGCTGCTTTAGGATCTGCCGTCGATGTTGGAAGCCGTCTTCGTATACCTACTTCTATCTTGTCCAATGAAGCCAGTTCAATTTAAAAAAAAGCATACCCAATACATTTCTGGACGATGATGCTATCCAAGAGGTATAAAACAAGGGAGTGATTGGTGATGGTACGTCAGGTGGGATTAACTTTGATCATGCCGATGTGTTTTAGGTTACTGGGTGAAGTATGCGACAAGACATTTCTATAATGCAGCTGGATATTGTAAAGTCGTGTAAGAAGATTATTTCGGAGATGCTGTACTGCGGATTGATGATAAAGGAGCACGCTTCTCACCGTCAGCATACTCTTACGAATCACGACAGGGTGTCGACTACCTGGAAAATCAGGGAATACATTTTTGGACCTGGAAAATCAGGGATTCTCAGGGAATTCAATTGAAATTCAGGGAAATATTTCTTAATCACAGAAGTATGTGTAGTTTGAGGATGTTTTAAAATTATAAATAGAGTTGCGAATTTGTGGTTGCTCCATGCACATCAGTGGCATTTTTGCAAGTTAAGCAAGAATTACTAAAACAAAAAGGTCTTTTAATGATGTTGCTCCTAATATAAATTCAGCTCCTACTGGGTGTTAACACATTCCTGAGTTAAACTGAAATCCTGAGGGTTGATAAAAAAAAATCTATATTCGTCGACACTAGACGTTGTTATTTGTTCCATAATATATCCTCCAAATGGGTATGTGCGTCTTTTAATAGATGTTACGACTGATTGCGTCTGACGTAGATCCTTTGGGCGCATTGGAGCGCTTTTTAACAAATTCAAGACTGGTAAATAGTTTTTTCTGATCACTTGTAGTTCTTGTTCCTTATTATGTTCTTAACAGCCTTAGTCAGAGCTCAGAGAATAAACTAAATGAGTATTTACGATAATGGCCTTGGAATAGCACTTTTATGATTGAATAATGATTCAAGAAACGTAGACTAACATTGCCTCGACAGCATAGAGTGGCGTTATTCAGTATTCTAGTTCTTCATTGGATGCTTGGAAAATTATATTCTCAATGAAGTTTTAGCATTGCAATTGCGATGAAATTAAGCTACTGAATGTTGGAGGTGAAAGCGTTGTTTTTACAATTTCCCACCATAGGAATCTGCCCGTGAATTAGCGTAGTGTTAAGCGTATTATCCGGAATTATTTTCTTGTGCAGCTGGGTCGCAAATTTTTTAAAGGGATTAAAGACAAGTGTTTCATATGCTAGATGTAGGAGAAATTTGTAAATGTTTGCCCCTAGCGTTGATTGAAAAAGTTCACGATATTTAACGAAGTTCAACAAGGGAAAAGTTCGCGAGTCATTGGTGTACATATTTCAACACTGCTAAGGGTGAGAAAATCGCCATGCCAAGCAAGGACCTCTTCTCATATCATGAAGTTAATCCAGAAAATTTGCTGCCAACTTTAAGCGATTAAGAAAGCTTTGTTTGTAGATTGACATCGAGATGGTTGCAGTTTCCTTCACACATCACTAATAATCATGAATTGAACTGATTCCCTGGCGCTTACAATTTGTTAATTTAGAAAAATGCGGTGCCTTCCTTATTTTGGAAACATGCGATTTCTTTCTTTTTTGGCATCCTATAAAATGTATCGAACGCTTTATTCAATTTGAGATTGTACTGTACCACTCTTCATGGGTTAGAGGTCCATGTGGTATTTCATGAAAAACGGTCCATAAAGCACTACCCAACTAACAATGTTGGCTGCAGGCTAGCTAATACAGCCAAAAATTTCCTTATGCAGCCAAATTTTGCCTGATAGGCTGGTCTGCAGCTAGAATTGTTTGTTGAGTAGTACATATCTGAGGAAAGTAATTGCTGATGAGGTCGTGTTCACAAAACCAATTAGACACCGACCCTGGATTTTTTTTTTAATTACTGGAAAATCAGGGAATTTGGTTTTCTTCATTGAGTCGACACCCTGCACGAATGTGATATCGGACTTGTTAATGTTTTCCGTGAGTAGTTTGGACTGGTCAGCTCAACGCTGGGTCTCGTTGAAGAGAGTACGCATTAATAAGAGGAAGATGCTCTATAAATGACCTAGATGGAGCATTTATGGCAGGATCATCAAGCTTTTCTGGACCATCCCGAGAGTCCCGACATTTACCATCATTTATAGAGCAGCTCCGTCTTATTAATCGAACAGGATTGCATTTCACATCCAGTCCAAAACACTCACCCTTTAGTCACTAACAAGTCCTCACCCTTAAGTCAATCACTAATAAGCCCAACGAGAAGTTCATGGAACTTCCTTGAAGTTCCGACGAAAAGTTTAGAGAATTCCGACGAGAGGTTCAGAGAACTTCAACCAAGAAGTTCACAGAACTTCTTTGAATTTCCTACGAAGAGAGAAGTTAGTCAGAGAAATTCCTATGAGAAGTTCACAGAACTTTTGAAGAAATTTTTCTTAGAACTTTCCTTAAGTTTCCCAGTATTTTCATGAAGTCCACAGAACTTCATTAAAGTTCGCTGGAGTTCCGACGAGAATTTCAGAGTATTCCCGACGACAAGCTCAGTGAATTTCCGACAAGATGTTCATTGAACTTCGGACAAAAAGTTCACAAAGAATGTAAACAGAACTTTCGACGAAAAGTTCCCAGAACTTCCGGCGACAAAATTCACAGAACTTCATTAAATTTCCCTAAAATTCTTGGAACATCATTAAATTTCACTGAACCTAGAAAGTACAGTGAAGTCTCATCGAAAAGTTTAGAGAACTTCCAACAAGAGGTTCACAGAATTTCCGACAAGAAGTTCACAGAACTTCTTGAAAGTTCCATCGCAAAGTTTAACGAATTCCTACGAGAGGTTCAGAGAACTTCAGAGAAAAGAATGAAAAGTACAGAGATGATCAAGAAGATCAGGGAATTTTCGACAAGAAGCTCAGAGAACTTCCGACGAGAGGTTCAGAAAACTTCCACCAAGAAGTTCACAGAACTTCTTTGAATTTCCTACGAAGAGAGAAGTTATTCAGAGAACTTCCTATAAGAAGTTCACAGAACTTTTGAAGAAAATTTTCTCAGAATTTTCCTGAAGTCCACTGAACTTCATTAAAGTTCGCTGGAGTTCCGACGAGAACTTCAGAGTATTTCCGACGACAAGCTCAGTGAATTTCCGACGAGATGTTTTTTTTTTTTATCTAGTTCGTTTATTTGGAAGGCTCAATCGCGTTAGCTTTACGGAGCCGATAATTCATTGTTCACTGTGTGTAACAAAATTCACTTAATTCTATGTCTAGTAGGAGTTGGGCCGATTACTCGCGGCTTACTCGAGGTTAGAAGGGTACATTTTCGAAGGATAGGATCAGGGGAGGAGCTTGGGGTAGGGTTTCGTTGTCTCATCAGAGCGTTGTCGCCAGTATGAACGGTAGTGCTGTTCTAGCTTCGTCCGGAGTTCGACCGGCTATGGTGGGTGACCAGTGGGCGACGATGAGACTCATCGAGACGGGGGGACAAGACAAACAAAAACTAATAAAGAGAGACAAAAGACAAAAGGAATTAAATTCTTATACTAGACATTTGAAGAAAAACATAAACGGACTGCATATAGCAGAGATCACGGGTTGCCAACACGTCTCTGATAGGAACATAGGGTTGTCTTCCTTGGGCCTCGAGGGTATTCAAAAGTCGCTCTCTGGCGGCGTCATTATCCGTACATTGCCAAACTGCGTGTTCGATGTCATCGTAACCGTTTCCACACCGACAGATGTTGCTGTCCACGAGGTTTATTCTATTGAGATGAGCATCTAGCGAGTAGTGGTTGGACATAAGTCTACTCATCACGCGAATGAAGTCACGACTTAAGCCCAAGCCTTTAAACCACGCTCTCGAAGAAACATTAGGAATAATTGAATGTAACCACCGTCCAAGATTTCCAGTGTCCCAATCGGTTTGCCAACTCGAAAAGGTACTCTGACGCACTAAATGGTAAAATTCATCGTGTGAAATTTGCCTGTCATACAATTCGCCTTCCTGCGCGCCCACCTTTGCGAGAGAGTCCGCCTTCTCATTGCCTGGGATTGAGCAATGTGAGGGGACCCATACAAAGGTAATCATATATGATCTTTCGACCAGCACACACATCTGCTCCCTTACCTTTGAAAGGAAATAAGATGAGTGCCTACCTTGTTTCATCGACCGAATAGCCTCAATCGAACTGAGACTATCCGAGAAGATGAAGTAATGGTCTGTGGGCATATTGGAAATCATCCCCAATGCGAAGTTGATTGCTGCCAGCTCAGCAACAAAAACGGAACAAGGTTCCTGCGACGAGATGTTCATTGAACTTCGGACAAAAAGTTCACAAAGAATGTAAACAGAACTTCCGACGAAAAGTTCCCAGAACTTCCGGCGACAAAATTCACAGAACTTCATTAAATTTCCCTAAAATTCTTCCCAGAACTTCCAACAAGAGGTTCACAGAACTTCCGACAAGAAGTTCACAGAACTTCTTGAAAGTTCCATCGAACAGTTTAGAGAACTTTCGACGAGAGATTCAGTTTACTTCCGACGACAAGTTCAGAGATCTTCTTAAAACAAGTTCCGGGAAGTTCACAGGACTTCATTTAAATTCCCTGCAGTTCCGACGGGAGGCTCACAGAACTTCCAATAAGAAGTTAACAGAAACTTTGACGAAAATTTCACAGAATTTCCAACGAAAAGTTCAGAGTACTGTCGTTGAGAAGTTCAAAGAACTGTCGACAATAGCTTCAGAGAGTCTTGTTTCTCTGTCTCGATGAGTTTCATCGTCGCCCACTGGTCACCATAGCAGGGTCGAACTCCAGGCGAATCTAGAACCGCACTACCGTTCATACTGGCGACAACGCTCTGATAAGACAACGAAACCTCACTCCCAAGCTGATCCTATTCTTCGACAATGAACCCCTCTAACCTCGGGTCAACCGCGAGTATTCGGCCCAACTCCTACTAGACATAGAAATTGTGAATTTCGTTAAAAAAAAATGACTCCGTAAAGCGATTGGGTCTTCCAAATAATCGAAATAGATAAAAAAGAGGTTCAGAGAACTTCCGACCACAAGTTCAGTGATCTGCCGACAATAAGTCCAGAGAACTTCCGATGAGAAAATCCAAGATTTTCTGACGATAAATTCTGGGAACTTGTGACGAGGAATTCAAAAAATTTCCAACAAGAAGCTCTTAGTATTTCTGACAAGATGTTCACAGTACGTTGAGAGAACTTCCGAGCAGAAGTTCACAAAACTTCCGAAGAGAAGTTCACAAAGGACTTCGGAGGAGAAGTTCAGAGAACTGTGAAGGAGAGGTTCAGAGAACTTCCGGCGAGATGTTTAAAGATCTTCCGAGGAGAAGTTCAAAGCTTCCGAGGAGAAATTCAAAACTTCCGAGAAGAAGTTCAGAGAAGTTCTGAGAACAACTTACGAAAAATTCATAGAACTTCCGATGCGAACTTCTCAAAATTTCCAACGATAAGTTCAGAGAACTTCCGAGGATAAATTCTGGGAACTACTGACGATAAATTCCGAGATCTTTTAATTAGAAATTCGCAGTACTTTCGACGAGAAGTTCATCCAGAAGAGCAGCATAATCAGTAGCAAAATACCAACCCGAATAGGCAATAAGTTTCGTGTGGTGGACAGGCATGGAAAATCATTTGCATTCATTTCGTGCATTCATTTACATTCATTTGCCCCTTACTTTTTTCATCAACAGAATTCCGCTAAATAATGTATGGAGCTTTTGTAGGTTTTGTAATTAGCTACAAATTTTGTTAACATTTCAAATCCGTATCTCTTATGCATGACGAACCAGAGCGAACAGAAGCCACTACTGTTTTTCAGTGAATGTATTTTACATTCACTGAAAAACAGTAACAAGTTCTGCCCGCTCTTATTCGTGATGCATAAGAGATACAAATTTGAGTTATGAACAAAAGTTGTAGCTAATAACAACAGAAGCTCTATACATCATTTTGCGAAATGCTGTTGATGAAAAAAGTTAGAGGCTAATGAATGTAAATGAATGCATGAAATGAATGTTAATGATTTTCCATGCCTGGTGGTGCAAGAACTCCTCAAAGATTAAAAATTTCTCAGCAGCTCGACAGTAATTTTATTATTTTAAATTTATATTTATTTATATCCAGCTATGTATTCACGTAAATCGGACGTGAAGATTTTTCAGAGTGTGCGAATTGGAGAAGGTCGAGTCTAAATTTTGTTTTTGCTATTTGGGCTGGAACTGCTAACGTACGTAGATACGTAGTTACGTAGATGTAACAACTAGTCTTCTGAAATTATGTTAAGTTTTCAGATGTTTCAAGATCAGCGGAGCTTAAATGCAATTGAAAATATTTGCTTAAAATGAGAAAACACCAGGGATCTAATGTAGAATGAAGTTTATGCAAAACCCGAATGAGAAATGCATGAAGTCAGTCGGCTGCAATAGTCGATCCAATCCGAAGCCAGCTAGATGACATGAACCCGACATTGAATCGACATGTCAAATCCAGAACCTTTATCTGGTTTTACTTCACAGCCCATTTGGCAGTGTGAATGTGACTGAATCGACATTAAATGAGGTTCCTTTGAAACAGCTCTCTTCGACTGAAATTATGAATGAAATTAGCAGCAGAACCAAACAATAGCTCACTGATTTGCTGTTGACCGGGTAGATTTAAGGTCCCAACGGATTAGCCACACCTCACCCTTATTCCATTTTCTTGCTGCCACACGGTGTACAGATTCATGTTGAAAATTTTCCATATCTTCCGTCTCATTACAGATGAAGCAGCTCAAGCTCTCACCCGCATGCGTTCCAGCGAAGGTGGTGGAAGTCCGCGAGACAAGAAGTAAGTTCACAGCAGTCAGTGACAAGCCCAACTGCTGCCTCACCTGTCTATCTCTCCGACTATCTCTCTTTCTCTTGTTCTGTTATTATTATCGATTCGTTTATTTTGACCAAACCTATCTATGTATTTGTTTTTTTTTCTTTATTTTCAAAATTTATTTTCCAAAACCAAACCAAAACCAAAAATTGTTACCCGTTTCATTGACACCAACCAACATTTGTTTTGCTTCTTCTTCTATTCCGTGTAACACGCAGAAATGCTCTTCGTAATTTCAGCTTGCTCTCGCGCTCGCTGCTCGCCGCCTGTACCGACAACGATGTCAACACCGTTCGGCGGCTACTGGGCGAGGGCAACTCGCTGAACGAAGCCACCGACGACGGGGACTCGCTGCTGTCGTTGGCCTGTTCCGCCGGGTACTACGAGCTGGCACAGGTAACCACTGCCGTCGCCGTCGAAGCGTCCTGATCCGAAATCTAACACTGTCTAACACTCACCCATCTAGGTTCTGCTGGCGATGTCGGCCCAAGTTGAGGATCGAGGCCACAAGAACGATCTGACGCCACTGATGGAAACGGCCTCGGCCGGCCATGTGGACATCATCAAACTGCTGCTGAAGCACGGTGCCGATGTGAACGCCCAGTCGTCCACCGGCAGTACACCGCTGATGTTTGCATGTGCAGGAGGACACGAGGAGGTGGTCAAGGTGCTGCTGGATCATGGGGCTAACGTCGAAGACCACAACGAGAATGGGCACACACCGCTCATGGAGGCAGCCTCGGCCGGACACGTGGGAGTGGCAAAGGTGGGTTGAAGTCTTGGGAGTCTTGGTTCCTCCACATGAGACGCAAATGATTAGAACCGAGAACGGAGTCCTGCAGTTGGTTCGTCTTGGGAAGTGGCTGAACGCTTCATTGATGCTCTCCGTGAGCTTCTGAAGTCGGTTTTTCCCGGGGGGAGCTCAATTCGGACAATGAACCCAGTTTGATCTTATCTGATGTACATTGGTCAAATTCGTACTGCGCGCGCGTATTGGAAGCTTTGAGATTGTGACTTTCTTTATTTGTCTTGTTTCCGCAGATCCTTCTGGAGCATGGAGCCGGCATCAATACGCACTCGAACGAGTTCAAGGAAAGTGCACTGACGCTGGCCTGCTACAAGGGTCACTTGGACATGGTCCGGTACCTTCTGGAGGCTGGTGCTGATCAGGAGCATAAAACTGATGAAATGCATACAGCGCTGATGGAAGCGTCGATGGACGGCCACGTGGAGGTAGCCCGGCTGCTGTTGGACTCCGGTGCCCAGGTCAACATGCCGACGGATTCGTTTGAGTCTCCCCTGACGCTAGCGGCTTGCGGAGGTCATGTAGATCTGGCGATGCTCCTGATCGAGCGCGGTGCCAACATCGAAGAGGTCAACGACGAAGGCTACACCCCGTTGATGGAAGCGGCGAGGGAGGGTCATGAGGAGATGGTGGCATTACTATTACAACAAGGTAAGTTTAATCTGGAAAAGTTGACGAGACTTGATCTCATGCAATCTGAAATCATCCCACAGGTGCGAATATTAATGCTCAAACCGAGGAAACTCAAGAAACTGCCCTAACGCTTGCATGCTGCGGAGGCTTCGTGGAGGTGGCCGACTATTTGATTAAGCATGGCGCAGACATTGAGTTAGGCGCGTCTACCCCCTTGATGGAAGCGGCTCAGGAAGGTCACATCGACTTGGTGCGTTTTCTGCTGGAGAACCGAGCGGATGTGCACGCCCAGACGCAAACCGGCGACACGGCTCTGACCTATGCTTGTGAGAACGGGCACACCGAGGTGGCGGACATTCTACTCTACTACGGGGCGGAACTGGAACACGAGTCGGAGGGAGGCCGGACGCCTCTTATGAAAGCATGCCGTGCTGGTCATTGGTGTATCGTGAAGTTCCTTATCGAGAAGGGGGCGGATGTGAATCGGCATACAACCAACAATGATCACACTCCGCTGTCCCTGGCATGTGCCGGTGGTCACCAGAACATTGTGGAACTGCTGCTCAAAAATGGAGCTGATCCGTTCCATAAGCTGAAGGACAACAGCACGATGCTGATTGAGGCTGCCAAAGGAGGCCACATCGGCGTCGTTCAACTTCTGTTGGACTTTCCGCATTCGTTGATCAGTGCCAACACGGCGGCACAACAGAACCTTCTGAACAATGGCCAAATCCAGCTTCAAGCTCAGCAACAGCTTCAGCAGCAACAGCAGGCAGCCCAGCAGCAGCAGTTGATTATCACCCAGAATCAACAGCAGCAGCAACTGCTTGCGGCTCCGCCTGGTTTGCACGAGGTTCCGGAATCAATCCGGGTCACCAACAAGCAAATGTTCCAGCAGCATCCAGCCAAAGATGGCCTCGATCAGCAGCAACAGCAACAACAACAGCAGCAGCAGCAGCAACTGTTGGCAAACAACCAGATGCTCGCCAATTCGAACGTATTCCTCGATGGTAACATAGCTTCAACCGATCCTTCGATCCTCACCCAGATGCGGCTGATCCAGATGCAAGGCTTCAAAGACGGTCTAGCGCATGGTCTATCGCGAGCACCTGGCCAACAACCACAGCAACAGCAGCAGCAGCAACAACAACAAGCTATTCTATCGCAGCAAATCCCATCCCACTTAGCAGCTGCCCAGCAGCAACAGCAACAACAACAACAACAGCAGCAGATTATCCTCCAAGGTACCAACAATGCTACCGTTGTCCAACAGCAACAACAAACCACTGGTGTCGCTGGTGTTCCCGTAGGTAATAAACAGCGAAGCTTGCTAAGGAAGAAGCAACAACCAACGTCCACTGCGGCGGCCGGATCGGCTGTAGTTTCCCAGCAGCAGCAGCAGCAACCTTCGCCGTTTGAGGCAAATCTCACCAGCTCGGAAGCGCAACAGGTACGCAGCGAACCCATCGGCGAAGACAATGGTGGAGGCGGCCAACAGCAACAACGGGCAGGTGTGGTAATGCGCTCCGATTACGAAGTGCAATACCAGAAACAGATGCGGGAAATGTACCAGAAGGTAGGCTTTTCTTTTGTTTTCGCGGTTGAGTACTAATCATGTTCCTATCCTAACCCGCAGTCACAAAAAGCCAACATCCAATTCATCTGCGATTCAAATGGTCCACCACCAACGCTGTTACCACCCACGGGAACCTACATCGATATCACCACCCCAGCTCAAGGTAAGTGTGTTGCTCTGTGTGAAATCTGTTCGGACACTGCTTCCAGTTTCGATCTACATGAATTTTCCTTTCTCTCTCTCTCTCTCTCTCCCATGATTTTTGTTACAAACGATCTTATTTTTGAACAATTGCAATTGATGATTCACATCCGGTCCCAAATTTACAAAATTGTACCACCGAAACAAAACAAAACAATAGGATTGATCTGTGGCACTGCTGGTGGCATGAGCTTTGCCGCACCGAATGGGACACCGTTGCTAGGGCCAATGCCGACGGGAGGCGGCGGCGTTGGTCAGCAGCAAGTTCCGACGAGCGGTCTTGCCAACATCGTTTCGGCAGGCAAGTGGTCTCTTTGTTAACAACCTCCCCCACCCGCCCGTTTCCCCTTTTCCATTACCGTATGTAGAATGATTGTTTACTTCCCATGTTGAGTGCTTGTTTTAGTTGACTTTGACCAGTATTATAGGGATCCTTAGATATAGCACCTGTAATTGAGTCCTTAGAAGAGAGCAGATGGAATTTTAGGAATAGGGCACCTTTCTTCTCTTGCAGTGGTCTTGCGATTTTGAATGTATGCACTGAAAAAAATGTTCATGTTATTTCCATTGGAAATGCATGCATTTCGTTTCATTAACCAATCCAATTATGTGTAGGGTAAATTACGGCCTTGGCAATACGTTTACCTAGCATCGTCAGAGGGTTAAACAAAGTCCTTGAGCGCTCAGGTTTGGCCAAACGAAGCTCACAAACATTATGTATCCTCTATGCAAGGAATGAGCGCTCAAGGACTGATCTGGTCATCCAAACAAAGGCATATGTGCTGAACAAGCTGACAAAGAACTTACCGGACCAAAAGATTGATATTGGTCGTTTAAAGTGATTGGAATCATTGCCACTAGCGGATCCGGATTTCGACAAGGCAAATATCGACATGATTCTTGGAGTCGATGGTTTTCTCTCGATTGTAGTGGACGGCAAGGTGAAATGGAAGTTGGATGGTTGCTGGCCAAGTCGTCGTTGAAGCAAGCAACAAACGTCAGATGCCACGTCAAGAGGAACATTGACAAAACGCTCCGCCAGTTCTGGGAAGTCGAAGATTTTTCAAGCTACCTATCAACGTGAAGAATCTGACAGATTTGTGGTGAATCTTCCGTTCGACGAAGCTATCCGCCATTGGGAGATCGGCAGCGATCCACCGACTCAAGGCAATTGAGCGAATATTTGCAACCGATCCTGATTTCAAGAAGATGTGCTACGGTTTTATGTCTGATTATTTGGCACTTGGAAACACGAAAAGAATCCCGGACAACAAGATCGAAATTCCTACGGATCAAGCATTTTATTTCCCACATGATGGTAGTCCTGAGGAATGATAGTTTGACTACCAAGGTAAGGGTTGTTTTTGATGGCTCTTGCAAAACATCGACAGGAGTGTCATTGAATGATCCATTGGTTACCGAGGATGTACCATTAGTTGTTACCCGTTTCAGAACCTACGCCGTCGCATTCAAAACTGATGTAGAGAAAATATACCGCCAGGTACACAAGAAGGACATCAATTACCGGTTAGTTCTGTGTGTGGACACAGGGATCGGGTCATACTATCGAGCATTATAGATTATTGACCATTGGCCATTGAATCTCTCCGACAAGCTGCTCGAGATAGTCCATTGCAGTATCCGGCAGCTGCAGAGCGTGTGTTGAAGAATTTATGACCTGGATGACCTGCTATCGGGTGCCGATTCGATTGAAAAAAGCAGCAAAATTGAGGAGCAAGATTATTCAGATCACCTCGTCGGCTGGATTCAATCTTAGAAAGTGGTCATCAAATGATCCTCGCTTGTTCAATGGGTGTGCAGAAGCAGAAGAAGCAGTTTCACTTCATTTGGCACCGGAAGTAGACTCCGTTAAACCGTTGGGAATACAGTGGCATCCAGACACGGACACCTTTGGCTTCCAATCAAAGATGGATTTTGAAAAAAACGAAACACGAAGCGTCAGCTGTTATCAGACACATCCCGAGTGTTTGATCCCCTAGGCTGGATCGCTCCCGTTATCGTTCGTATTAAGATTCGCTACCAGCTGTGATCAACGATGAGTGGAACAAGATCAAGACGACCCTGAAGGAAATCGAAAAAAAATCCGCATTCCCAGGTGGATATCAAACCATAGTGGATTTGCTCCGCTGCCGAGCGTCACTTCCAAGGTTGGAGCTCAACGCTGCGGTACTGCTTACCGAGCTTATGAACCAAGTCATGCAGTCGTTCACGCACTTGAGCGTTGCTTATTATGCATGGACAGATTCGGAGTCTCATCCGACCTGGCTGAATCGCTTTTCATCACTGCCAGTCGCACAACGAGTCCTAGCATGGTGCAACCGATTCAAAAACTGAAGCCAAAATGCAATTCACTCGGCAGGTTTTTGGCCAAGACATAGTGCAGTGACGGGAGTGGCACACTACGAGTTGGAGGAAGGTTGCGAAATTTGGAGCAACCATACGATAGGAAGCATCCAGTCATATTGCCGAAATTTCATCGATATGCGAATCTTCTGGTTACAAACTCCCACATCCAAAACATGCATGCAGCACCGACTCTGCTCATGGCATCGCTGCACCAACGGTGTCGCAGTGTCGCCAATAGTTGTGTACGCCTCCTGCGATGGAAGGCCAAAACCGCGAACCAGCTTATGGGAAGCCTGCCAACTGCTTTTGAGTTTGTAGATGTCGATTATGCCTTGAAAGCCAGCGTGCTGCGAACGACAAAGACGATCAAAGGCTACATCGCTGTTCTTGTTTGTCTTGGAACAAAAACCACTCATCTCGAAGTGGTTACAGATCTCTCATCGAATGCGTTCCTTTCAGCGTTGAAGCGTTTTTGTAGTCGTCGAGGCCTGCCAAGCCAGATAAGGTCCGACATCGGGACGAACTTTATTGGCGCTAATCGTCAGGTCATGCAGTTAGCCTACTTTGGTTCTTGAGTCGATCATTATTTGAGTAGCCTGGGAATAAAGTGGACATTCATAAAAACGTTCTGCTCCTCACATCTCGAAGACTGAAGCAACACCTCGAAGCACGCTTTCCGACAAGGTTTCGGAACGACCACCTATTTCGCAACCCTAGGGGAAGTTCTCAAGAACGCCTATGACAGTGGTCTGCACAGCGAGATAGTATCGCTCGACATATCAAAGGCCTTCAACAGAACGTGGACGCCCTTCGTCCTTAAGCAACTAATCGACTGGGGTCTTAACGGACCCATCGTTCACTTCATCCTTCATCCAGTCGGCAACAAATCCCGGCTTTTCCCCGAGGAAACGGGTGTCAAACAAGGATCGGTTATCGCCGTTACCCTGTTCCCCGTGGCGATGAACGGAGTCTTCCGTCAACTACCGAAGAACATATATGTGTTCGTCTACGCCGACGACATCCTCATCGTCACCACCGGACCCACGCCAGTACGTACAAGGATGAGAGCCCAAGCGGCAGTCTCCGCCAGCGCCAGGTGGGTCCACTCATTAGGCTTTGAATTATCAGCCTCTAAAAGCCAGGTACCATGTCTGCCCTTCTCGACACAGAATTAGCGGACCACCGATCAAAATCGACGATCGCTGAAGAAGACCGTCCGGGTTCTGGGAGTTCTCGTTGACCGATTCCTCAACTTTGAACAGCATTTCAGTGTAGTCAAGAAAAATTGCCGCAGCCGAGTGAATCACATCCGGACCATTTCCCGACAGAATTGATCGAACAACCGCAGCATCCGTTTTCACGTGGCGAGTGCAATTATCGACAGTCGCCTTCTATAAGGGTTGGAGATGACCTGCATCGCAACGGATAAGCTTTTAGCTACGTTAGCACCAGTCTACAACACCTACGTCCGGATGGTCTCTGACCTGCTGCCATCCACGCCCGCTGATGCTGCATGCATCGACGCAGGCATCCTGCCTTTCCGCTTCCGTATAACCGCGCAGCTATCGCAACCAAAGCCGCTGCTTTCATCTCGCAGACATCCGGAAATCAAGGGATCTTCCTCCTCGACGAGGGGAACACCATTACCGAAAATCGAAAGCCGGATTAAGGACACGTTCAAAGCCGGAGACAATTCCGTGGCCATGAAAAGGACTGTAGCTGAAATAACCCCACACTGACGGATCTCGCTCTTGGGCTGCAGCTTACCGCCGCAAAGTTGTCTTCTCTGCTGAAGCTGCTGCTACTACAACGCTCTCCAACCGACCGATCCTGGTCCTCATGGATTCGAACAGCGTCATACAAGCCCTGAAATCCGAGGCCCCGACTCGATGAAGTCCGCGCCACCAAACACGGTATTCTGATGGGTTCCGGGGCACTGCGGAATACCAGGCAATTCGGAAGCTGACTTTCTGGCTGGGGCAGGACCATCTGCCCCTCGCTATACTAACGAAGTACCGTTACACGATGTCAAGCGCTGGATCGTGAGCAAAGTACGGGAAGCTTGGGACGCAGAGTGGGCTCAAAACCGCTCCCTCTTCATCAGACGGATCAAAGGGACGACGAGGAAATGGACAGAACACTTGAACCAGCGGGATCAGAAGATAGCGTCACAAGATCTCGCACAATTTCGGTGGAACGCCGTTCCACAGGACTTGCGTCGGTTGTAGAACTCCAGCCTCAATCGAGCACATTCTATGCGTATACCCTCAGTATCAGAACCACGGGCTTCCAAATGCTGGGTGATGATCCCTCCACACTGGCAGCAGTAATGCGTTTTTTAAAGGATGCTGCATTGTATTTTAAAGTTTAGTCTTTTTTAATTCCTTTCGGCTGTTGGGACATCTCTGGTGGGGGCCTTCCCGGTTCCCCCGGTGTGGAGCTCTGTCTTATTCAGATTTTAATGTTGTGTCCTGTGTAAATGTACGATCGAGCCAGGAACCAATTTTCGGTTGAAGTAAACACTGTAAAAAACTACTCTGTTGGGGTCCTCCTTCTGAGGCCCCACCTTTCATGAACTAGTAGTCCGCAACGTGACTCTTCAAAGAGATCAGACCACTTACCAGCGACCTGTGCATAAGCCGGTGCTTCTGTTTTCCAATTGGGGCATCCGCCTCAAGGCCGGGAGTATGTTACGGAGTGCTCATTTGTCTCATGGGTGAAACACTGATCACCCTCTGCAAGGAAATCAAACATTTTCTGAGCTTCTATGATGTTCCCTGGACTTCTTCCAAGGTCCATATTTTTTCCCCAAACTCTGTTAACTCGACCAAGATCTCAGAGTATCGATGACCGTCTCCAATCTTCCGACAAGAACCTTAAACTTTTCTAAGAACATTCCTAAACATCTGGGCGAAACAAAGTTCCCAAAACTCTTCCAGGGAGATAATTGAGCTTTCTTCTTTGATAAAATGATACGAAGATCCTTGAAGTTCTAAGCAATTTAATGAGCTTCTACGAAATTTCCTGCATTTCTACGAAGTTCGCTGAACTTCTACAACATTTGCCAAACTTCCACACAGTCCTTGCACTTCTTGCACAATTTGCTGCGCTAATATGAAGCTCGCTGCACGTCTACAAAGTTTCCTGAACTTCTACGGGATGCTCTAAACTATTCCAAGTCTAACAAACTTTAACGAAGTACTCTGCAATTAAAATAAGGTCACGGAAGCTCCCAAAATTGCACAAAGTTTCCACTTCTACGAAGTTCTTCCTAAATATTCACAAAACTCCCTGAATTTCTACGAAATTCGCTGAGCACTACGAAGCTCACCGAATTTCAATTAAATTTCCAGAATTTCTATCGGTTCATTTCCTAAAGTTTTGAGAAGTTCAATGGAGTTCCATTAACTTCAACGAAGTTTCCCGAACTTATAAAAATTACGTTAAATTACTGCAAAGTATGTGAAGTTTCACAAAGCTCTCTGAATTGTTTCAAAATTTACAGAAGTTCTACAACAATATCTACACTTCAACGAAGCTTACTGAAGTTCACTGAACACCTAAAAATTTTGCTGCATTTTTGCAAAGTTAGCTTAGCTCTTATTGCTGCACTTCTAGAAACTTCACAGAACCTCTACGCAGTTACCAGAACTTTTGGAATTTTTTTTTAAAGTTCTTCGAAGCATCCGGAAATTTTACGAAGTTCCCTACACGTCTAAGAAGTTCTCTGAAATCAAATGATGTTCTCTTAACCTCTACGAATTGCTCTTGATTATTAAGAAGTTCCCTGAACTTCTGTGAAGACGCATTTTTTTTTAAAGTAGCGCAGTACAACAGTGATGACGGATATGGTCCGATAAGGCCCAATTATGCAGGACTCTGCACGTCAAAGCCTCTATTTTATCCAGTAGGGGTAATAGGGGCATAGTGAACAGGTGGGGCATTTTTTTTTTTTTTTTTATCCAGGGGGGAATCTACTCCCAGACACCTGAGAAGATAACTCAGGGTGTGGGATGGGAGAAGTAGCTCTCCCGACCCACTAAACCTTACCCTGTGCTCTAGGCCCTTGCCCTCCCCGGAACCGCCCGAAAGCATTACGTCATGGGAGGGGGCCGGTTGCGCTATGGCGCATCACTAGGTGTTGTGTCCGACGTGACACTCGCTACTGCACAGTGAGCAGCTGTGCAGGGCCTTCCTCTTGTTGCTCGCTGTTCGTTGTTCGCCTGAGTTCTAGAGCAGACGTGATAGCCAGCCAACTGTCCAGGGCCCATACAGGACAGATGTGACCGCTTATCAGCTGCGTGTGCTAAGCACTCTAAGAACCCGGCGTCACTCCTGCCTTTGCACAACGAGGGTTTATGCAGGGCTTCTCAACCTCCTCTTGTTGTTCGCTGTTCGTTGTTCGCCTCGGTTCTAAGCAGACGTGATAGCCAGCCAACTGTCCAACAGGGTAGCTTAGGACAGATGTGACCGCTTACCAGCTGCTTGTGCTAAGCACTAAAAACCCGGCGTCACTCCTGCCTTTGCACAACGAGGGTTTGTGCAGGGCTTCTCTGCGGTAGTTCGTTTAGCTGCAATATCTCTCCCTTGGGTTCGACAATTAGCGTTTCCAGGGTACACCACGAGGAGGCGAACTACTTCATGCCCCGTTCGGAACACATTTATTGGTGGTAAGATCAATATCATAATGACCTACACCAGTTGATTTGTTTCATGCAGCTAGAGATTCCTCGCCAAACTGCGGGATGCTCACTATGCCCCTCCTCCCCCTACTCCCTTCCGTGGTCCACACAATGATCTTCCAGCACGAAATCCTGCCTGCTGTCGTCAGAAAGTGGCGTCGATCTTCACCTCAGGCACATCCCCCTTCCTAGGAACATTCACTAAGCAGTCCTTCATCCAATCGGCCGACAAAAATCGCGGTGTCCCAGATATTACATAACAATTAATGCAACATCTGTGCGGGATAGCATGGGGTCATCTTTGAGCATCTTGCATGATAGCAATCTCTGATAACGTCGAGTGCCTACACGTTTTTGAGGCAGTGTTGTGGACATATTTTCAACGGGAAACCTTCGGATACTCCGATGGTCAACCTCTGTTGATCATATTCAAAACTCATTTCAGCTTCTACTACTCCTCCTGTTCCTGCTTCTTGCTCACAAGGTTCGCTTCGACTTGTCTCCTTCGGGAGGGAATTTTGCCGGTGGTCCTCGGCTTTTTGCACTTAAAGCATTTGTTCTTCAGTCCATCGTAGTATACAAATAAAAGCAAAAGTTGCATGTGTTCACTGTTTTCAGTGTGTAGAGATGATCCTTTTTGTAAGAAGTGCTACGCTCCAAAGTCCCTACCCCCTCAAAAAAAAAAAAACGCCAAAAACGCTAACTTTCTACCATCTTCTTCCACAGGAGGAAAGCCGTCTGATAGTGGTCTAGTTATAGCTACATCATTGCCAACCGCACTTCAGCAGCAACAGTTGCAACTGACAACGACAATAGCTTCCTCAAGCACGACGGTTCCTTCTAGTGCAGCAGCAGCAGCAGTGGCAACAACAACTGCGAATACCGCGTCGTCCGGAAGTGGAACCCTTTTGACGGGCCCGTCGGAGGTATCCCAAAGCACGGCCATCAGCGATCGACCCAAGGTGAAACCGGTCTCGAAAAAGGATGCCAAGAATAACCGTAAATCTGCCGCCGCCGCCGCAGCAGCAGCAGCAGCCGCTGCTGCAGCCCAACAACAACAACAACAACAGCAGCAACAAGCCCAGCAATCGATTTGGCCAAATACGGCCAACGTCCTCCAGCAGAATCAAATGGTGTCAATTTACAACAACTTGGTAAGTCGGATGAACATTTTCCTGGAATGCATAACCCTAACGTTTCAACGTTTTTTTTTGCAGTCTGTGATTCCAACCTCCGAACAGAATGTTCAAGTACTACAGCAGTCGCTGTCAAACCTTAGCCTCCAGTCACCAGCAGCAGCAGCAGTAGCAGGCTCAGCGACTAGCTCGGGAGTGGGAAGCACTCAGCAACAGTTAACCATTTCAGTGTCGCAGGGCACCAGCAACAACAACAACAACAACAACAGCGCCCAGCAGCCATTGATTGCCGGCAATCGAATCAGCCTTGGCTCGACTAAAACAGCGTCGATTCCATTGAGCAACAACATTGTTCCTACGCCCAGTATGGTGATTACCAGTGCCGCTGCAGGTGCAGCCGGAACGGTCACCTCGGTGCCAGCGAATGTAATTCAAACCCGAAATAATCTAATCAGGCTTGACCAGCAAACGCTAGAACTAGCAAATTCCACTTCACCGTTTGCGACCGCAACGAGCACTGCCACCAGTAGCGCTGCCAGCAGCCAGAGTGATGTAACCATCCCGGAGATCGGCAGCAGCAGCAGTAGCAGTGCCAGCGGAAGCAGCAGCAGCGATAGTAGCAGTAGCAGCAGCAGTTCTAGCTCCAGTGGAAGTGGCAGCACAACGACTACCACTAGCAGCAACAACAGTGGCGGTACGGCGGCCAGTGGAACTGGTGTCGTCGGAGGTGGTGGTGGTGGTGTTGGTGGTGGCGGTGGTGCTGGTGGAGGTGCCAGCAGCAGTGGAAATAGCTCCGAACACGAAAACCAACTCAACCAGCTCGCCCTAAATACCCTATGCAATCAGAAAATGTTGCAGAAAATCGCTCAACGCTTCATGGTGGACCCGCCAAAGTCTCCGCCGGATACGCCTCCGCTTAGCTGCGCCAATCCGGACGGACCTTCCTCGCCACCGCCCAGTGGTAAGGGACTAGCAAACAGTGAGTGAAACGTCGGAATGATTTCCTGTGCATCTTTTACTAACGCGATCCTCATTCGTATTTCAGACGCCGAACTAGCCGACTTGTCGCGCATATTCTGCGAAGTGATGCACGACTTCCGTTCCGACCTGCTGCCCACGCCGGAGTTTGTCCAAGTGCATCAGCATGTATCTAATATCATTCAGCACAAAGCTGGTAGTAATGTAAGTTTGCGGTTGGAGCGTTGTTTTTTTTTTGTCGGATGATTGTTAATGTACCGTCTTCCGTTTCCCCCGAAATAGCAAATTAAAATCAGCGAAGGCGACGGGCACCATCAGTACGTGGAGGACGGAGACGAACACCTGCAGATGTTCAACATTGACGATTCGGAGAATGAAACCATGTCCGAGTGCGTCGGCGGGATCTATCCCACGTTGGACGAGTCGCTGGAGACATTCAACCCGGAGGACGGGTCGGTAGTTGCTGCAGATGGTTCGAGGGAAACGATCTACAACTACGAATGGGTCGAGTGTATCGACGAGGTAATTCACGCGCTGAACGGGTGCACCGACATACCGGTGGCTTTGCAGGTTTGTTACCGTAATTGCCTTTTTCTTGTTCGCAAGCTCACAGTCTTCGTCTTTTTTTTCAGGAAATGGCAGCCAACCTCAGTTGCCAGGATATCGATGCGTACGCCAACCTCATCGGGATGAACTCGTTCTGCAAGACGCGCTGGGCGGGCAACCAAAGTCAGCTCACTCCGTCCGGCACGTCTTCGCCCATCGAGGACGACGGCAGCACCATCAACCTGTCCGAGGCAACTGCAGAGCAGTGTGCCGCCTTTGCCGCAGGCCAAGCCGCCGCCGGTCGACTGATGACGTTCGATGCCAACCAACAAATATCGCTCGACCAGCTACAGCTGCTCAGTCAACTACAGGTAAGCTTTCGATGGTGTGAAAATGGGTCCTTTCCATCAGGGGATCTTACAAAACAACTTTTTTCCATTCGCAGGCAGCTACCGCCCCCGGAGCGACCGTATTGCATCACGCGGCTACAGCCGGTGGGGCACCAGGTGCTCCCGGAGCAACCACTGCCGATGGCCAGCAGCCCAAGTTTGTGTTCAACGTGGACGCAGACAAGGCATCGCAGGTGCATTTGCTCTTTCAACTGCCGACAGCCCAACAGCAGCAACAACAGCAGCAGCAGCAACAACAACAACAACAACAGCTGCAACTTACCCAGGAACAGCTGGATCAACACGCGCTCGCCGCTGGTCAATGTAATGTGACGCTCCAGCAGGCAGCCGCTTTGCAACAGGCCCAGTTGCAACAGCAGGCAGCCGCTGCCGCAGCAGCAACCGCAGCGGCTTATCAACAACAGCAACAATTCCAGTCGCCAAATATCGTTCATCCCAGTTCTGTGATTCTGGCTCAGCAACAACAAGCACAGTCCGCGCAACAGCTACAGCAATTGCATGCCCAGGCCCAGGCAGCACATTGCACCCAGCATGCGCAGGTACAGGTTGCAACGCAAACTCAACAGCCCCAAACCGGTGGACTGTTGATCCCTCGTCAGCAGAGCCCACAGACGGTCGATACGGCAACCTCCACCAAGAAGAAGAGCGAAAAGTCCAGGAAGGAGAAGAATCGAATTGCTGGTGTCCGCCAAGCCCCAGCCGGTCAGCAAAGTGCTACGGCCGGAGGGTACCAGTTCGAGGCAACTCCTGCACCAGCACCGATTCAATACCCGGCCGGAGTACCAACCAACGTGGTTCAGGAGCGTCAAATCGACGTGGACTCCGAAACCGACTCCAATCACGACACTGCCCTAACGCTTGCTTGTGCCGGCGGTCACGAAGAACTGGTGGAACTTCTGATCAGTCGAGGTGCGAATATAGAACACAAGGACAAGAAGGGTTTCACTCCTTTGATCCTTGCAGCCACGGCTGGTCATGAAAAGGTCGTGGAAACGTTGCTTCGACATGGCGCAGAAATGGAAGCCCAGTCGGAACGTACGAAAGACACTCCCCTGTCGTTGGCCTGTTCCGGCGGACGGTACGAAGTGGTGGAACTGCTTCTAAATATGAACGCCAATCGAGAGCACCGAAATGTGTCCGATTACACACCTCTTAGTCTGGCCGCAAGCGGAGGATACGTGAATATCATCAAACTTCTGCTCAGTCACGGTGCGGAAATCAACTCTCGAACCGGCAGCAAGTTAGGAATCTCTCCGCTTATGCTGGCAGCAATGAACGGCCATACGGCAGCTGTGAAATTGCTCCTGGACATGGGATCCGACATCAATGCCCAGATCGAAACGAACCGGAACACGGCCCTAACGTTGGCATGCTTCCAGGGACGTCACGAGGTCGTCAGCTTGTTGCTCGATCGCAAAGCGAATGTTGAGCATCGAGCTAAGACCGGATTGACCCCGCTAATGGAAGCCGCTTCCGGTGGGTACATCGAAGTGGGTCGTGTCCTGCTGGACAAGGGTGCCGATGTAAATGCCGCTCCAGTTCCTTCCTCGCGTGATACTGCTCTGACAATTGCCGCCGACAAGGGGCATCTGAAGTTTGTCGAGCTACTCCTTTCGCGAGGTGCCGCCGTAGAGGTGAAGAATAAGAAGGGCAACTCACCGCTCTGGTTAGCGGCCAACGGTGGACACCTGACGGTGGTGGAAGTGCTCTGCAATGCCGGAGCTGACATCGATTCGCAGGATAACCGCAAAGTGTCCTGTCTGATGGCTGCCTTCCGCAAAGGACACACCAAGGTGGTCAAGTGGATGGTCAATCACGTTACCCAGTTCCCCTCGGATCAAGAAATGACCCGATACATCAATACGATAAGCGACAAAGAACTGCTAGAAAAGTGTCACGATTGTGTGAAGGTGATCCGAGCCGCCAAGGATCAGCAGGCAACCAAAGCGAACATCAATGCTTCGATCCTGTTGAAGGAACTCGATTTGGAGCGCAGCAGGGAAGAAAGTCGCAAGGCGGCTGCGGCGAAGCGTCGCGAACGAAAGAAGCGCAGAAAGGCCGAGAAGCGCGAACAGCAGCGGAAACTCGTCGAGGGCGACAAACCGTTGGATAACAGTGATGACGATGACGACGGGGACGATGATAAGGATGACGATGACAGCGATCGGGACGATGATGAGTTGATCACGACCGTTGTGCATCAAGTGTCCAATCGTGTCGCAGTTGCTAGCAGAGTGCAGCCTCGGGATCATCACAGTGCGACTACAACTGCCACGACTACCACCGCCGCCGCCGCCACCACCACCAACACCACTAGCAATAGCTCCAACAACGACCGAGAGGAGGGTGATTCCGGTATTGATGCCAATAGTCAGGGTTCTTGTTCGAGTTCGGATGTCAAATCGTCTGCCTTGATTGAGCAGCAGAAACGGAACAACAAGAAACGCAAACAACAACTGCAGCAACAGCAGCAACTTCAGCAGCAGCAAGCACGACTCAATGTCATCAAACAGCAGCAGCAGCAGCAACAACAGCAACAGCAGCAACAACAACAGCAACAGCAGCAGCAGCAACAACAGCAACAGCAGCAGCAGCAGCAGCAGCAACAACAGTATGCTAGCCATCAACAGAATCGTCAGAGTAAGAGTCCGGATAGTACCGCCACCACGGCGACTACCCTGGCCAGTAACACTAGTTATGTGGTTCAGGATAAAAACCAATACCAGCAGCAGCAACAACAACAGCTACAACGAGAAAGGGATAAACTTGTTGCTGGTCAGCAGCAGCAACAGCAACGTCGTCATCAGCAGCAGCAACTTCAGCAACAGTTGCACTACGAAAACAGCCACAAACGGGAGAAAACCGTCGAAAAGGAGAATGTGGCTCCCAAGGAAGTCGCGCTTCACAAGAATGAATCGAAAAAGGATCACCATCACCATCATCATCCACATCAGCAACCGCAGCCGCAGCAGCCACAGCAGCAACAACAACAACAATCGAACTACGCCCAGCAGCAACAGCAGCAGCAGCAGCAACAGCAAGGGAATCGTAAGTCTATCATCGTCTTCGGCAATCGACATGCTGCAGCAGCAGCTGCTGCCGCCGAGAAGGACGATCATGACACCAGCGAATCGACCACCTTCTACAGCAATCTGAAGAAGAATCATTCGAACAACAAGACTACTACGTACTACCACAGTGAAGATCAGCTGCAGAAATCGACCAGCCCCACTAAGCAAACGAGCAGCGGTGGCGGTGGCGGCCAGCAGATTGGTGGTGTGATGTTGTCCAACAACGCGGTGTCCGCTGTGAAGCGCGAGGAGGGCTGGAAGGAGGTCGTCCGCAAGAGTTCCGTTCAGCAGAGCCAATCGGCATCGGTCATGGAATGTAAGAAGGTCCAAGTGCCAGTGCATGCAATCTCCCGCGTCATCGGCCGTGCCGGAAGCAACATCAATGCGATCCGTGCGGCCACCGGTGCCCACATTGAGGTGGAAAAGCAAGGCAAAGTCCAAGGCGATCGATCAATCACAATCAAGGGTTCGCTGGAAGCCACCAAGCAAGCCCACACACTGATTGCCACACTAATCAAAGATCCCGACGTAGACATTCTACAGATGCTTCCGAAACACAACACTGCCACCAGCAAAACCATTTCCTCTTCCTCCTCTTCTTCGTCGTCTTCGTCTTCATCCGTACCGGTATCAGCAGTATCGATTTCTGCGACTGTCAACATTGTCCCCACAGGGTCCACTGCTCCTACGCTGTCCGCTGTGGTTGCATCCGGAAATGTAGGTCCGCAGTTAACCTCCTCCGGAACACCCAAAGGGAAGAACATATTCGTCGCATCCAACCAGAACAAACCGGTAACGGCCTCGGCAGTCCTGGCAGCCGCCACGGGAAAATCCATGACCGGAGGAATGCCTGCTCGACCACCGGCAGCGAAGAATCTTTTCTCCGGCAGCTCGGGGAATGCCTCTCAAATGTCACGGATTATCTCTTCCAACACTACTGCAGCCTCGTCGCTGGTAGGACTCGGCAAAGATGGAAAGCGGATGTCTTCTCTTCCGCCGAACAACCTTTCGACCATGAAGACGTCCTCGTCCTACACACACATGATGCAATCGTTGAAAAATACCATCAAGAGTTCGTCCGGTAACATCGCAACCGGCGGCAATGTTGGTGGTACATTTGCAAAACTAGTCGCCGATAGTACCGTAGGCTCGAATACTACGCCATCCATCGCTGTTCAGAATCAGAAGAAGCCAATCAATGCAGCACCAGGTTCCGCACTGAACCTAAATCAAACATCAACATCTAGCGCTACCAGCAACAACACTTCCTCGTCGGTATCGGCCAGTGTCCCAAGTACGATTCGCCCACCGGTGCAAATACTACAATCTCCTGCCAAGGGACTGCCTGCACCGTTTGGAAGCTCATCTATCGTATCCAGCATCGCCAGCAGCAACTCTAGCAGTAGCGGTGTTCTAACCAGCATTACCAGCAGTGCTTCTGTTTCCATTGTAACGTCGATGAGTCAGGCAGCTTCTTCAACGGCTGCGCCATCTCAGCATCTTCCTGCTCCAATTCAACCTCCAACTAAGACAACTTCCAGTTTTATTCCGGCAGTCGCTCCGCCAACTCCTGCCGTAAGCAGCAGCAGCAATACCACCAAGATTGCCCCGGTAGGAACGGGCTCCGGTCGATCGATCACTCCGATCGGTCACCAACCAGCCCGTGCAAACATCACCCCATCTCCGTTGCTACACACGGCGTCGTCCGCATCGCCGTCCTCCCATTTGGACACGGTCATTGTACCGAGCAATAGCAGCAACAACCCAGCCTCCGCTAGTCCTATCGGAAGTGGTCTGGCAACGGTGGTTTCCTCCTCATCAACTACCACTTCAGCCATTGCCCAGCTGCAATCCAAAATAAACAACAATCTGCATGCCAATGCGCAGGCGCATGAGTATTCTCTATTCAATGACTCCTACGGCAGCAGCCAATGGGGTACCAATGCCAGCACGGGTGCTGGTAATAACAGCAATGGTGCTGGAACTGTCCACGGTCAACACCAGCATCATCACCATCACCACCATCACGCTGGTCACCATCATCCCGGTGGCCATCATGGCGGTAGTGTTGGTGTGTTGGACAGCGCCCCCGGTGGAAGTAAGACCATCTACAGTCATCCGCACGGTGCCGGTTCGTCCTTCATGGAAAATGAACCTCCCCTACAGGTAAGTGCTTTCCGTGCGCCTTCCAAATTTCCCCAATCTAATCGCCGTTTTCCATCCAGGTTGACGCCTCGAAAGCTCCTGGTTACCGTGGAACAACCGTTTCATCACCAGTTAGTTCCAAAGCCTCGAGCAATTCAACGACACCGCCGTCTGGTTCGTCATCTGTGTCACTTTCGCAGCAGCAGCAGCAGCAACAACAACATCAATCCCAGCAACAATCACATATGCTTTCTGGTCCACCGACCAGCAGCAGTGGTTCATCGCTTCAACAGCAGCAGCAGCAGCAGCAACAACAACAACAACAAGTTGCATCAGCCCAACAGCAACAACATCAGCAATCTCAACAGGGACCTTACCCAAACGAGCAGAATGTCATAAAACCCCCGCAACCGCAGCAAACTCCTCCCAGTGGACTTGCAGTTCAGCGTCCCATTCTGAACACCTCGTCTCAGATTCGACCGATCGGACCAGTCACTTCCGATTATGGTGGTCTGGTAAACTCGCGAGATCATCCCCCGCCGCTAGTGGGTAGCTCACGGCCACCGCCTTCGATGTTCGATGCTTTGCAGTCGCAAAATCAGCACGTACTAAACTTCGGTCCGGATCCCATGCAATCCTCCTATCAAGGTCACATGGGTCTTGGTGCAGGGGCGGGTGGTCTGCCACCACTTTCCCGTCTAAACCCAAAGGCATCCGCGTTTTCAGCAATTCCTCCCTCGCAAAACCATCAACCTTCCGCTCCCGGAAGTAAGCTTTCATCCTCGAATCAATTCGGAAATATGTTCCACCCGAACCCCCCGCCCGGTCCCATCGGAAAGTACCAAAATCTTCCGCCCAACGGTGGAGGACCTCAGCTACCTCCGTATGGACCTGGTCGTGGCAACAACCAGTCTCACGGTCAGCATGGACCGGCGCCTGGACCTCCGGGTCCACCGGGAAGTAACCGTAACGTAAGCGGTACCAATTGGTTCTCCGATCTGGCACATCTGCAGTCCCGAGATAACCTAATGAACATTGAAAACGGTATTGCAATGGCCCTGGGAGGATCTCCCAACATTTCGCCGAACAACAACCAACCGACTACGAATGGCGGTGGACTTGTGGGTGGCCCACAAGGACTTCCGCCACCACCAGATGATGGTCGCAAGATGGCACGAGCCATAGGATCCGAACGAGCCAGCTGGAAGTATAACTACGGTTCTAGCGGCGGAATGGGGGGCTTGGATAACGATCCAAGTGCCCTAGCAGCGGCAGCTGCTGCAGCCGCAGCCGCCGCTGCCGGAAGTGGTCACTGGATGGTGGACAAGAACCTTGCTGCCATGGGCGGAGGTGGAAGTGGCGCCGGAGGTGGACCGCAACAGTGGATGGGTCCGCCGCCGAGACATTATATGGAAGACCTGCACCTAGCGGATCATTTTCAGGTAAGTTCAGCTGGCGTGCCTAGTCTCGTTCAACAAGTGGACTCTAATTTCTATTTAGCCATTGCAGATGGAGTACCACAATACCTTGGGTGGCAGTGGCGGTGGAAGCGGAGCTGGGCCGAACCAGCCCAATATGAATTTTATGCAATCGCTCCAGTATCAGTTCATGCCGGGCGGACCGAACGACATGAACGTTAACGATGGACCATTGCAGCAGCCATGGGAACATGAGAAGCATGTAAGTACAGAGCCAAACGAAACATATTAACATTCGGCAACGGAAAATATCGTAACGTTATGTGCGTGAGGATTGTTTTGGTTTTTTTTTTTCTACACCGTGTGGTATATTCAAACGAATTTCACAATTTACCTCTCAGAATTCCATGAAACTTCGCATACTTTTATTTGCTATAGACAGTGAACCAAGATTGTGCTGTAATTCGTCCATTTTGGTTATCGCTAAATTTTACAAAATGGCGTATTCGATATTTTTTCTATAAATCATAGCACGAAAAGATATAAAAGATGAGCCATCATCTAATACAAATGACGTTTGGACAATTTTTTAGGAAAAAATCGGATTGTCTTTTCAGACAAAAATATATACTGAAGAAAAAATCACAAATTTTTGTCAAAAATTAAAATAAAAAAAAACTATTTGAAAACTTCAATAACTAAAAAATGCAAATTTCTCAGTTTTTAAAACTTATGTTTATTTGAAAGCTTATCAAAAATGCTAACTTTTCTGATATTGGACGTTTTGAAATTAATCAAAATCGTACATCAACTTTTAGAAAAATGTTTGAACGTTTTTTTTTTCACGTGAATCTGAAGAAGTTGTCTCCACTCTACTCTATCCATGGGCACATGTCGCCAGCGTCGTAGTCGTACCCGAAGCTTACCATTTACTGGTTTTTCCAAAAAAAGTTAGCAAGTGAGAACACTTCTGTTCCTTCTGAACTGGTTTTGTCCAGGCGAAGTGGGCTGTACTGGGCGGGAGCGAACGGAGTTGGCTAGCGTCAATCGAAGTTCTAAACTCAGGAGCTCTGAAAAGAGCTGGGGGTTTTGACGCTGCGGGGATTTTTATAGAACGGCACCGACCGTTTGCTCGTTGCTGATTGGTCGACGTTTGGTGACGACTCTCTTTCGGCGGTAGGCGGAACATCCTCCCCCCGGTTGAGAGATCTCAATATCTTTTGGCAGTCGGAGGGCTTTGACGGGGATCATTATCCTTGATGGGCAGATTGGGACACCTTATTGATGGGACGTCGATACGTGGTTCCATTCACGAAGACATCAACTGCTCGGACCAGGCCGTCGGTTCTAGGATAGACGGCTACGATGCGACCTAACTTCCAGTTGAGTGGTGGTTGGTTACGATTGTGAAGCAACACGATCATGTCTTCCCGAATGTTCGGCTTCTCTTGTCGATTTTTCTTCCGAGGCTGCAGGGTATTCAAATAATCCCGGCTCCAGGCTCGCCAGAATTGCTCGCGCATAAGTTGGAAATGTTGCCACCGTGTCAAGTGGGATGCTTTGACGTTTTCCAGGGATGGTTCAGCTGGGGCGATCAGCGGCCGTCCAATCAAATAATGCGCTGGAGTTATCACCAGCGGGTCCGCCGGGTCGTTGGAAATTGCGAACAATGGTCGGGAGTTCAAGACAGCCTCGATTTCTGACAGGATCGTACACAATTCCTCGAACGTTAGAGTCGTATTGCCAACTACCCGCTTCAAATGGATTTTGGCCGACTTCACGGCCGCCTCCCACAAACCACCGAACTCGGGTGTGTCGGGTTGAATGAAATTCCACTCAATCTCATGATTGCGATAGTCTCCACGGCTTGTTGGTCACAAAACTGCTGGCAAAGGTTGTTCAATTCGTGGTGAGCACCACGAAAATTGGTTGCGTTGTCCGAATGGATTTCTTGGACCATTCCACGGCGAGCGATAAATCGTCGAAGGGACGCCATGAAGGCATCGGTACTCAAATCGGAGACGCCCTCCAAATGGACGGCTTTGGTTGCCATGCAAACATAAACGGCCACGTACGACTTCCCCAAAGTTGGACGACGTGTGCCTTGCTTGGTCCAGAAAGGCCCGGCGTAATCCACGCCGTTAACAGCGAAGGGGGGCGACGGCACTACTCTCGATCTCGATACTGGCAGGTTTCCCAGTTGGTTGGGAGTGGTAGGATTAATCCGGAAGCATCTCAAGCACCGGCGTGTGATAAATCGGATGGTGGATCTTGCGTTCAGCAACCAATAACGTTGTCTCATGGCGTTCATCAGGCCCGTTTGACCGACGTGAAGGAGCTCGACGTGCATTTGTTGAATTAGTAGTCGTACTACCGGATCCTTATCTGGCAGAATGATTGGATGGCGACTTTCGAATGGTAATTGGGAGCGGTCCAACCGACCACCTACTCGAAGCAGTCCGTCGTGGTAAATTGGACGAAGACCGAGTCTCTTGCAGGGCTTGTTTGCCAGAATTAGCTTAATCTCGTCGGAGAAATGTGCCTTCTGCAAAACTTGATGGGGCTTTATCTCTCGATTGGTCGGGTCCTTTTTCCGACAATTGGCAGTGAATCGCAGGACATAGCCCACAACTCGTTGGATTTTGCGGAAGTTAATGAGCTTTGGAAGAAAAGATAGGAAGTCCATACTCACATCTGGCCCTGCTACCAAGGCCTTAAGTTCCGGTAGCTTCTCGTCTGGAACGTCTTCAGGGGCATCTACGTAGTACTCAACTCTTTGCAGGAATTCGGGCCCATTCCACCAAGGGCTGCTGTGCTTCAGGGATTCAACTAGTTGACCTCGGGATACGATGTCTGCTGGGTTCTATTGGGACCGGACATACTCCCACCGGTATTTACTGGTGTGCTCTTGTATAATTGCGATTCGATTCCGTACAAACAACAGTAGCTGGTTGAGAGGTTTCTTAATCCAAGCGAGGACTATCGTACTGTCGCACCACAGGACTATGTCACGGAAAGTCATATCCAGGGCTGGTAACACCTTCTGTACCAACCGGGTTAGTAGAAGAGCGGCGCACAATTCCTTTCGTGGGATGGATAGCTCTTTTAGGGGAGCCAGTTTCGATTTGCTGGTGAGAAGACAGATTCGCCGAGCCATCGCCAAAAATATTTGGCAAAAAGATGCAGGCTCCATAAGCCTTGTTGGAGGCATCAAAGAAGCCGTGCAGCTCGTAGGCGACCACGTTGTCAATCGTCACGCGCCTTGGGATCTCGATCTCGTGAAGATGCGATAAGGAATCTTGGATGTCTTCGTCCCACCCGGACTTAAGCTGCCACAATTTCTGCGCTAGAAGCTTCACCGAAACAATGACCCGTGAAACCAGTCCCAGGGGGTCAACAAACTTGGCGATCTCGGAGTACATCGTTCTTTTCGTGGGCCGTTGCGGATGCAATGTTGGATTTGGGCGATAGGCTATGAGTATCGAGTCTGCAGAGGGATCCCAGAGTAAACCATGCACCTTGATGGCTTCATTTACTCCATGCTCTTCCACGGGAATATGCTCTAGAAATTCCGGTGAATTTGAGCACCACTTGTGTATGGGGAAACCTCATTGTCCAAGGAGCTGCTTCAGCTGTTGTTGAGCCTCCATGTAGGTACGTTTCTTCTTTCACAATACGAGCGGCGACAGGAAAGTCCTCACCATCCTCTTCGACGAGCTTCAGCAAACACCTGGTTGCTTGATATGGTGCCGATGCCGTACCGTACGTAACGGTACAGAGTTCCAGGACTCGTAGGGGTAACGATGGGTGCTCTCTCCAAAAGATTCGAAGGAAACTACGATCCAACAGGGCTTTGAGTATTTGACGGTACATTTTAGAGATGTCTCCGGTGATGGCAACCTTGAATTTTCGGAACCGTAGCGCGATATGGTGCAGATCGTTCTGTACTACTGGACCAACTTGCAGTACATCGTTCAGGGAGAGTTTCGATGGCGACAACTTTGCACTTGCGTCGAACACGACTCGACATTTCGTGCTCGAGCTGGACGGACGTAACACTGCATGATGCGGCAAATAGTAGGTTCGCATGTTGGGTGGATCTTCAGACTCGTTGATCTCGGTGCAGTGGCCGAGAGCTTCGTACTCCCGGATGAAGTTCACGTACTGAGCCTGCAGCTCGGGATTGCGGATAAATCGCTTCTCCAACATCAGGAATCTTTTCAAAGCTAGACTGCGACAGTTATCCAATTGGAGAAGATTGTCCTTGAACGGCAGTTTCACGATGAATCTTCCAGTTTCGTCACGTTGGTAGGTGAAAAGGAAGTGGGCTTCGCATGCTGCTTCCTCGGTCGACAGCTTGGGAACGTCCGGCACCTCCTCAACTTGCCAGAACCGGTGCATCCTTTGCTCAATGTCTTCAACGGCTGTGTTGGATTCGAGCGACACCCCAAGTAACCATAGGCACGTTATTTCGTCTTTTTGGCTATATACAGCTGAACAACGGCTACACCAGTGTTTGCAAGTTCTGATGAGGCCCGTATATAGCCAAAAAGGCGAAATAACGTGCCTGTGGTTACTTGGGACGTTTGAGACGAGCTGATCATTGATGGCACCTGCTACGATCCACCCCAGATAAGTGTCTCGCAATTGTGGAAGACCTTCGGCTAGGCTCAGTTGACCAGGTTTCAGGATATCGAAGAATAACTCCCCACCGATCAGCAAGTCCACCTTATCCGGACTGTGGAACTTGGGATCAGCTAGGATTACCCCTTCAGGGATCATCCATTTGGTGATGTCTATTCTCGATGTAGGGATCGTGCCGGTCACTCTCGGGGTAACCAGACACTCGAGGCTTGCGTGGAAATTGGATACACGGGACTGGAACCTGACCACCACCTTGTCGCGGGCGAGGGACCGTAGGGCGTTGATTCCCACGATCGGAAGGTGAAGATGCGAGAAAATGACCAGCATTGCCTACGTTTCTTCTGGAAGGACGACGACCAAGCGACGGAGCCGAGTGTCTACGTAGTGCAGGTGATGACTTTCGGTGCTTGTTGCTCACCAAGTACTGCACAATATGTGAAAAATAGTAACGCTATGCAGTTCGAGCGGGATCATCCGGAAGCTGACAATGCAATTGTCAAACTGCACTATGTGGATGATATGGTTGTGAGCGTGGAGTCCGCAGTGGAAGCAATTCAGCTTGTACAGGACGTGAAAAGGATTCACGCATGGTTAGCGATCTTTCCGCAGATAGCAAAC